CCCGGGCTGGTGCAGGCAGGCAGGAAAGCATTCCTGTGCCCGGTAGAGCTGCCTTGCCCTACCCGCCACCTGAGCCAAGCCTCTGCACAGCGTTTGAGGTTTGTCCATCACTATTTAATATTGGCGTCTCTGACCCACTGCCCCCTCCCCAGGGAGGCTCCAAAGGGCTGCGTTTGTATGCAGCGCACGCAGACAGACAGCAGCCGGGAAGCGCCCGTCAATCACAGCCCCTTTCAGCCTGTCACCTCAAAATAAAGGGAGAAAGAGTGGGTAGTGACTCTGATGGGAAACTGGGGCTGCCTGTACACCTCCCCCTCCACTGATGTCGGAGGGTACATGGGATGAGCTGTCCCTCAGATGGCTTCAGACATGTGAAGGAATTTCTAGTGTTCAGTGATACTGTGTGGATGGGAAACCCAAAAGGAGAGGTCTGGGATGGCTTTCTTGAGGAAGAGGAAGTGCGTGGAGAAGTGGGACTTTGTCCCAGAAAAAAGGGATGTCTGCAAGGCTGGCTAGTTTGCTTGGGAATCTTCCAGCAGAAATGTTGCACTTCTGGAAATGGCAAAATATTTTGTTTCAGAATCATCTTGAACACCCCCCCACACACACCTTTCTGTTTCAAAACTGCAGATTTTAATTTCAAAAGGGATCTAAATAGAAAATAATAATAATGCAGTTTAGAAACAGGAACCTTTGTAAGATCAGAAACAAGACATTATCTGTTGTGATGAAAATTGCTTGCGTCACCATATTTTTGTCCCAGTTCTTCCTAGATAGTGTGGGTTTGTTTTCATTTACAAATTTTCACTGTCAGCGCTTCAATGAGACTTTTACAGAGCTGTCTGTGGCAGTCTGGGTGTCTACTGAGCATCACAGTGCTGAGTGGATCACCTTGTCCAGTGCCCTCCCCTGTGCCTGCCAGTTTCCTATGTGGTTAAACAAACCCAAAGGCTGCCAGCCAAGCCTCATTTAGCTTCTGAACCCCAGGCTATGAAAGGAAAAATGTCTTCTGCCATCCCTAGGATGGCAGGAATGAAGGCACTGCTGTTGAAATCTAGGGGTAGGTAGTTTGTTCTTGGTTTAAAACCTGTTGAAGTCCCATCCTTCTTCTCTTCTGAGCAGCCTCCTCTAGAGAAATGTCATCTCAAAGTCCCCTTTGCAGCTGAAGGGAGGCACAAAGAGGGAGAGAGGGGACAAAATACGGCATGTGTTCTGCAAGGAGGGAGCTGGGTGCAGAGCTGAAGATCCTAGAGGTGGAGGAAACATTTCTGGATCCAGGCTGCTGTGCCTTGCTCAGGCAAAAATGTTAAAGTAATTGCTAGATCTAGTGCTAGAAGAAAACTTCCTTTCAGCTGCACCTCTGGCTGACCAGGGGTGGTTCAATTGGGTTACCCATGCAGGAGCTGTCTGTGCTAGAGTTACCCTATGTGAGGCTACCCCTATTGTAGGGCTATTCCCAAATGGGATTATCCATGCATGGCGTTACCCATGCATGGGGTTATCTATAGGGGAGCATTACCCATGTGTGCTCTTCCTCCCCAGTCCCTGTACAGGAGCTGGTACTGTCCAGGGCTGGTCCTGGACTGTAGGGATCTGGGTTGCCCTTTGTTCTCTCCCCATTACTGCCTGTGGTAGGCTGAAGTTTTCATGCACGTGACTTTTTACTGCTTAAGATCTTGGTTTATTGTGGGTTTATGAGGAGCTCTTTATGGTTTCATACTGTGAAAGAGGTTTTATGGGGATTTCTCTTCCTCTCACATTGCCCAGGGATGGGGGAGTCCTGTGCTGGACAGTGAAAGATGCCTGGTCCTTCTGGCATCCCTCAGTGGGAGCTGCTGGGGAAATGCAGCAGTTTGGAAAGAAAGTAATTTATTCAGCGACTTAAGTATGGCTTTAAGTGTGTAATATTAGGCTGTCATTTATCTAAATCTCACACCTTCCTGTTTTTCAGCATGCTTTGGGCTTAGAAACACCCATTGTTTGGTTAGTGCTGCTGTGCCTAATTGGCAAAAGTTTATGGTTCTTTAATCAGTGCCCTGGAAATAGAGATTTTTGACACATTCACTTGTGAAGATCAGATAGCAATAATGTAATAGCTTATCAATGTTTTATTACTGAGAACAGTTAATAATCCCAACAGGTAAAGCTTCATTTAAACAGGATGAGAATGTGTTACCAGATGAATAAAATTGCCTCCACTTTGACATAATAGAGACATAATTAAAGACAATTACAGAAATATTAACACAAGCCTGCATTTCTCAGAGCTGGGACAAGAAGAAAATGACCCTTCAGGAAGGATGCTTTAGAGGGAATATACATCCCTTTCCTCCCAGGGCAGTCACTTGGGTCTTGGAAATACATACATCTTAGAGACAGACAGTTGTGTGTAAACCTGGGAAATTAAAATTGGATGTACAAAAATAAAAGCTGCTGGTAACAACATTACATAAAATTATAAACTCCCTACCCTCCACCTTTTATTTGATGATTTTCCACTTTCTGTATTGACACTAGTATTTTATAAAAACTTCATAACATCTCTTTCCTACTTCTTGGGGGATGCTACAATTTGCTGAGTGTGCCCAGGATTTGGCTGGCATGGTGAGAGTGATGCACACCATTCCAATGTTCATCACCACCATTTTGGGAAAACTGGGGACGGAGCTGGCATAGCCCACATGCCGGCATGAAGTGTCCATGAGAGGACCCCAAGGTGAGAGGGAGCCAGCACCAATAAAGTGGGGTACATTTGGGGATCCCATTGCGAGCCCTTCGAGCCCTCAACACCCTCAAAGGCTGGCAGGCACAGCTGTCAGGTGGCAGTGTGCCTTGGCACCCTATGAGCTATGTGCACATCTGTCAGGCAGCTGTTTGCCGCCAGAGCTGGGTGCTCATCAGCTGCAGCATGGGGCACTGGGAGGTGGTGCTCTGTGGCCAACCCTGCCCCCAGCATAGGGAGGTCATCATTATCCTCTGCTCCTGCACGTATCTGCCCTCCTTGCACCATGGGGCATGCTGCCCTGCCCAGGCTCACTGGCTTCCACAGGCAAGCACTGATCTCTGATGAGATGGGCACGGAAGCAACCAGCTGCTGCCAACTGTCCCAAGCTTGCAGCCTGCGCAGCAGAACCTGCCTGTCCCCTTCCTGCAGTTCGCACAGCTGGCCATCTTCTTTACCAGCTATTGGGCAACTGAAGAGGTGAAAGGAAAAAGTGAGATGAATCCAGGCTGGGACTTCACAGGAGCAGAGGCTGTACATGGGCTGCAGCAAGGTGCATGCCCCTTTGCTAATGGTGAGCTTCTGTTCAACAGCATCTCTGGTGTTATGAGAGGCTTCACTTTGGGAGGTACCTCTGGGGCACGAAGACATGCATATACCTTGCTCTGCTCCCTGTCTTCTTGTTTTATGGGCTATCGAGTTCACCACAAAAACTTCTTAAAATTATCCCTGTTATCTGATGGTTTTGCTGTGAGGATTTTGCTTACATCTGGTCCTCACCTTGCTGGGATGGGGCTGACTCAGTGCTTTTCATTTCCTATGTGGTATTTTTTTGTAACTGCCAAAAAAAGAGAAAGGATTGAAAACCCACTGGTGGGTGCAGGGCTGCCCTTCCCCTCCTCAGCCAGTCATCCCAGCCCTGCAGTCTCCAAGCACTGCAGGTTTTCCCTGGGAATGACACATGGGATGGGACCACAGAGGTGGGAGCTATCTGGGGTTGGAGGAGGACTGGATGCATCACTCCCCATGTGGGTCTCTGGGGCATCCCCAGGCTGGGACACGGGCGATGCTCGGAGATAACCTTCGCAGGATGTGTGCTGACTTCTGACTTCTCTTCCTGGGCCAAGGTCATCAAGACAGGGAATAATAATGTCCAGTTCCCACAGATACTTAGGACAAGGCTGAGTAAACAGTAACTTTTTTCCTTCATGGGGCCCAAGCCAAAAATACAGATATCTGGGGGTGGTAAAGAGGTTCTGATTTGGTATCTTCAAACATCTCCACTGGGTGAAACTTCCCATTCACTTAAAACATCCAGCCCATGGATTAACTCCAGGTGCTTCTGAGTCCTCTCAAGCCAACACTGATGCTGCCACCTTCTCTCTGCTCACCATTGATCATGCTACTGAACTGCTTGGTAAGGACATTTAAAGTCAGAGAAAGAAAAGCTCTGTTTCACTCTGAAGCGTTATTGCTGTCATTATTCTTGGCTTTTAAGTATAAAGCCACTGTGTGGAAACCTGGGAACTGTACAATTAGTGATGCTTCAAACACTGTCACACCAGTGTCAAGGAACAAGCTGAGCTTTTCTTTTTGACACATCGTCTTCAGTCTGTCACCAGCTTTAAGCCAAAACTTGCTGCCATAGAAATTTTTGTGATATGTTGGATGTTTGGTGTTGCAAGCAGAAACAGCGCTGTTCCAGTGACCCAGGCCAGAGCGATGGGGTGGTTTGTGGGTGACTGACAGTACTGATGCTTTCTTCAGGTGCTTCTTGAATGGCACGGATGAGGTTGCTCACTCCGTTGCCATCTCCGGCATCTCCTTACATCTAGGTGTGATCTGGAGGCAGGTAGAAATGTAGGGTTGGCTTGATGAAACTCACGCAGGTGTGTGTTCCATGTCTTGTGGTGGTGGGAGCTGGACTGTTGGGTTTGACACCTGTTTGGTTTTCACCTGGAGAGTCCAGATGTTGGCGTCTTCGTCCTTTGACTGCGTTCATGGTAAGCATCTGGTAACAGGTCAACTAAAAATCACCCAACTAAAGTTGACCCACAGACACCCCCCACTGGCACAGGGTAAGCTTGCAGCATGTGTCACTGCGGGGGGGGCAGCACTGTTGTGCCCAGCCCCTCAAAGAAGTTAAAACACCAATGGGGTGACACAGTGATCCTGTGATGCCCATCTCCCCGCCATGGATGCCCCAACACTGCGCCACCCATGGGTGCAGCCGCAGTGCTGCCAGGCATCCCAGTGGGATCTTCTATTGCTCCTGCAGGCTCTTTGCGGTGAAGTGCGCCGGGTGCCTGGAGGCCATTGCACCCAGCGAGCTGGTGATGCGTGCCCAGAAGAGTGTCTACCACCTGCGCTGCTTCTGCTGCTGCGTCTGCGAGCGGCGCCTGCAGAAGGGTGACGAGTTTGTGCTGAAGGAGGGGCAGCTCCTCTGTAAGGGCGACTACGAGAAGGAGCGGGAACTGCTGAGCTTGGTGAGCCCGGCTCTGTCGGATTCTGGTAAGGGGCTGCCCGCGCCCGGCATCTCCCTGGCTGGTCCCGCTATGAGGCCCCTGTGAGTGCAGTTGGGTCTGGAGGCGAGTTTTGGGCTCACTACCCTGAACCTCTGCCCCATGGTCCAAAGGGAAAAGCACATTGCATACTCCAACCAGAGTCTCTCAGCAGCAAGAGCATGACCGGGTACCTCAGCAGCAGAGGGGCTGCAGTGCTAGAGGGTACTCTGGGGACCATCCCATTTCAGTAGGCTCTTTCTGTAATGGTTTGTGCTCCTGGCCTGTGCAGGGTACCAGCACCCCATCCTGAGGGGCATACAGCCTCTCCAGGAGTGGGAGGGGGAGTCATGCTGGCCAAAGGTGACATCTCTCACCTCCTTGCCTTTGGAAACAGAGGAGCTGCCCCTGGTGTAAATACACTGTAAGCAAGAGTTTTCTTCCTGAAAAAAATCATGGTCCCAAGCATCCCACTGACTACATTCTGTGTCCCTCTCCTGTGCCTCACTGTCCCAGACAGCAGATCCAGTGTGGTGGCACTACTGAGACACTGCAAATCCAAGGGGGGCTGCAGGAGAGGTGGCACCAAGCTGGCACCTGTAGGTGGGAAGGGGGCTGGCATTCTGCTCCAGCCAGAGTGTCACTGCTGGGTCAGGTTGCCCAGAACATCAGATTGGCATTAAAATATGTATTCGCAATCAATGCAAAAATAATCTGTATGTTTCCCAGGAAGACAAATTTAGTAAGAAAGTCCAGCAATGGGGGCTGGGCGGGTGGAAATGATCTGCTAGCAGAAATCCTTCTGCTAACGCTGTCCCTGCAGAGCCGTGCTCCTTGAGAGGCCGTGCAGCCCCATCCATGTGCCCGGGTCGCTCTTAAAAACCATCACTGGAGGAAAATCTGCTTTGCGGAGGAAAAGATTTAACTTTGAAATGCCATGCTCTGGGAAGGGCTGACGGCGTCCTGGAGGGATTCTGTCCTTTCCCTGCTAAAGCAAAGCATTGGGTTTAATGAAAGAGAAATCAGTGTTACGAGCCTGTTTAGGAGCTGGTTAGGTTGTTAAGGTGTGAGGCAAGGCAGGTCACAGACACAGCAAAGCCCCGCGCTCACTGCCAGGCACAGGCAATGCTGCAGCTTGGAGTAGGTGTGGGGGAGGACAGGGGTGATTTCAGCGGGGTTGGAGCAAAAATTGCCCAAAGCCCATATTTTTCTTTAATATTGTGCTCCTCTGCAATAAGAAGCTGGCTGCTTTGTAGCGCTGACTGCAGCTCTGACCAAGCTCTGCAATCCCACCTGCTTGAAAGAAAAAATCCTCCTTCCAAGTAACGGTGATGGTATTTAAACAATGAAGAGTGAGGCAATGGGAGGAGGTGGCTGAAGGGAGCCAGTGAGTGATGGTCCAACGCTGGAGTTACTGGAGAGGCAGGAAAGTAGCAGGATCCAGCACACTGGCGCTGCGTCTTGCCTTAGCCCTGGGAAAGTCCTTAGTTGATTGAAGAATTACTATTTTTTCCTTCTGGGATATGCAAACTCTTTCAGTTAAAATAGGAACCAATGAAGAGACATCATGCAGGAAAATAAGTGAATTGGCCACAACAGTTTGGATTTATTCCTAGTAGGGGAAAAGGGCAGTTTGGGAAAGGCTGGGGATCTTTTCCTCCCCAGCGACTCATTGGCCAGTGGTCCAGCCCCACTGCCAGGGGCTCTAGCCAAACCGAGAACAACTAGCAAAAATCCCCAGGGGAAATAGTTATTTAGGTGGAAACTCCATCAGAGACCCAAGGGCCAGTGTAGGAGTCAAAATGGCATGGCAACCCCTTGGCTGGGTGGAAACCCAAACCAAAGCCCCCATCATTCCCTGGCAGCTCCTGGCTCAGGGGTACAGGCCCTTCCTGTCTCTTCACAGACCCCATAGTTTAGCCCCACTGTTGTCCCTGCCTGGTTTTGGTGGCCACCAACAATTTGTCTTGGGATGTTGCATGGCTTTGGGGATGGTGGCACTGTGGGTGCCAGCCCAAGTGCACCTCCCATGTGGATGCTCACCATGGGGCGGCTTTGCCCCCTCCTGCTACGTCCCTCCTGGGGCCCCCACTGCCATGCTGGGGGATGCAGAGGGGGCGTCCCCTCTCTGGCACTGGTCCCAGATGCCCTTCACCAGCAGTGTGCAGTGTGCTTGTCCAGCCTCTCCCCTGTCTCCCTGTCTCCTCTTTGCTGCTTTGAAGACCCCTGGCCTCCCTCCCCCAGCCGCTGTGCACCAAAGGCCACTTTATGAGAAAGCACAGATAAAAAGCGAGCCATATGTTGTCTGTAATCTCCCAAACCCTCACTTCAATTACCTCCTCCCCTGAGCCTCCACCACCCAGCCTAAGTAAACAAGCCCCTCTGAAAGAGGACCCCACTTTCCAATTAAAAGCGTCCTAATGTTTCTCCTCTCCCTAAATCCTCCCAAGCGAGGAATGTCCTGGCCCTGGCGGCGGGATGCGGGCTTGGCGGGTCGGACCAAGGGCATGCTGCACAATATCCATCGCCCCAGTCCCTTCCCAGGTGACGTCAGGGGCAGCCCCAGACACTCATTAATTTCTCCCCCCTCCTTGGTGGGGAAAGGCTTGAAAAGGAGAGTTAATTAAAAGTAATACCCTGCCAAATCCGGCTTCACTTTTCCTTCTTTCCCTTTGACACTGGGAGGGATTTGGGGAGCAGGTGTTGTGTGAGGGGGAGGGCTCTGGAGGGCTGCTCTGAGCGGGTTTTCCCCTTTGCATTGGTTTTGAGCATCATTTGCTTGATGGTGTCTGTGAGCCTTTGGCTCCCCCCTGCTGGGCTCTGCCCCTCGCAAACTGGAGGGGATTGGGGCACTCACCTCCTGTTAGGGTGTAAAGGGATTCAGGCACTAAAATGTCTCCATTGGTTGACATTCCTCCTCCCAGTATTTGTAAAACTCTCTACTCTTCCATCAAAATTAAGCTCCTTCAGGTTTCAGGAAAGCAGGCAGCTTGTCAGACTAGACCCTGTTTGTGCTGGCACTGAGAAGAAGTCAGTGGCAGCCACTGCCCAGCCCCATTAGCCATCAGAGACTCCACACCCAGCATCCCTAGCACTGGGCTTCTCAGACCCACTGTGGAGAAAACAGCAGTTTGTCTTTCCCATTGCCACTGCTGCCATGGGCACACCATGGCTGTGCATGGAGCTCACAGGAGCAGCAAGGCTCTGTCTCACAGGGGCCAGCACCCAGCTCCAGGCTGTTTGGTGACTGCCAGTGTGCAGATCTCTCCCTGTCCCAGCCCTTGCCACAGGGAAGGTCTCTGTATTGGCTGGTGAGCCCAGGAGAGAGCTCAGCAGTGTGCAGGGAAGAGCTAACTGATACCTTAGAGCATCCTTGCTTCTCCACTGGGATCCCTCACCTTGCCCTGCAGAGCTGCTCCTGTCATTCTCCATTCCCAACTGGGCTGCCGTTGGATTTATGCTTTTCTGATGTGTGTGATCCATGATTAGGTCTTGCCATGGGGTTCAGCCTGACCTGCTCTTGCCATGAATTACTATGAGCTAGGCTTATAAGGCCCTGGTGCTTCCCCATCTCCCAGAGGCATGGCAGCCCTGGGACAGGACTTGAGCCAAGCACAGCCTTGCAGCCTGCATCTGCATCAAACCAGCACCTCAGCTCCATTATCAATTCCTGAATAGATGGTGGAGGAACTTTCTGGAAAAGGCTATAAGTGAATTACAGCTTGTGAGTGGGAAGGACCTGTGCTGTCAAACTTGCATTACAGCCCTCCCACACTGGCTGAGCATGTGAGATTGTCAACATGGTGGCAATGCAGAAAACTAGGAGGGCTGGTAAGATGCTTTCCTGGAGCAGCTTCTGCCCAAAGGCCCTGCAGCCCTGAGTGGTGGAGAGCAGTAGGGAGATACACACCAGTGCCTGGGAATGCAATGGACCAGCAGCGAGTACCTGAGGGGTGAAGCTTGAAGCAGCCTGAGCTTCTGTCTAGAGAGATTTAAAACTCCATGGAAAGGGGAAGATATGAGCCTGGTCACCAGCTGTAGAGCAGGCAGGGATTTGAGTCTGATGGAGGGAAAATCAGGTGTCCTAGGATTTCACATTGCAGCTGCTCAGACTGTTGGGGAAAAGAAGAACTCAAAATTACATTGGCTGGCTGAGCAGCCCCAAACTATGAGCCATGGCAGCTCTCCCCATCTCTGAGCTGCTGTGGAGAAGCCAGCCACAAACCTCAGCTCCTCTCACACATTCACAGGAAGATTCCCATCAACAGCAGCTTAAGTCCCCCTAGATTATTTTGGACATGCTGGAAAATGGAGTGCATGGCCTGTTGTCTGTAAAGGACTTGCTTTTCCCCCCCCCCTCTTAGGCAAAAGTGATGATGAGGACAGCATTTGCAAACTAGGCCAAGCCTCAGGGAAGGGTGCTGAGGATGGGAAGGATCACAAGCGGCCCAAGCGGCCCCGGACAATCCTTACCACACAGCAGCGGAGGGCATTCAAAGCATCGTTTGAGGTCTCCTCCAAGCCCTGCAGGAAGGTAAGGCGAGAAGGGCCCATGCTCAGCTGCCTCCAGCCCCTGGGAATGTCCTGAATGCTGAGCAAGGACTTGTCCTGGCTGCTCTGTCCTCTCCTAAAGTGCCCCTGAAAAGCAGAGTGGGCTGAGATGCTGCTATCATTCCTTCCTCCAAGGTTCGGGAGACGCTGGCGGCCGAGACAGGGCTGAGTGTCCGCGTGGTGCAGGTCTGGTTTCAGAACCAGCGAGCAAAGGTGGGTACAAGGGGTAGCCACCAACTAGGGCTCATGCTGGGACTCCCCTCCCTTCTCACTTTGGCCAGGGCATGATTTCACCTTGGCTTTCCCATTCTTCTCACGCAGATGAAGAAGCTTGCCAGGAGGCAGCAGCAGCAGCAGCAAGATCAGCAAAACACACAGCGCCTGAGCTCAGGTACCCCCCTCGCACCCAGTTCTCCCTGCATTCAGGGTTTCCCTATTTCCCAGCCCTCCCTGGGCTTCCCAAGGGAGCTGGGACCCCCAGAAAGCAGTGCCTGACTGCATTGACAACTTGCTCGTGTCTTCCAGCCCAGACCAATGGCAGCGGAAGCACAGGGCTGGAGGGAATGCTGAACCCCTACACCACTCTGCCCCCACCCCAGCAGCTGCTGGGCATGGAGCAAAGTGTCTACGGCTCTGACCCTTTCCGGCAAGGGCTTACCCCGCCGCAGATGCCTGGAGACCACATGCACCCCTACGGTAAGGCTCCAGGATTTGCCTCTTGCCTTCTGCTGTTCAAAGAGGTACTGGGCTGTGGTGGGGGGCTGTGTGGTGGGGTCATGCACGGGTGATTCAGTGATTCTGGAAGACGGTGGTCCCCTCACTGCTAAATTCTTACACTGCAAAAGCTGTGGGTACCAGGCACTGTCAAGGTGCCAGAGGAGAAAGCAGACTCTGAAGCCCTTCTGCTCCTTCCCTGCTTCCCAAGGTGCTGAGCCCTTCTTCCATGACTTGGATAGCGATGATACCTCACTGGGCAACCTGGGTGACTGCTTCCTCACCACGACGGATGCGGGGCCGCTCCAGGCACGAGTGGGGAACCCCATCGACCACCTCTACTCCATGCAGAACTCCTACTTCACCTCCTGAGCGTGACGTGGGCCCCAGCACCGGGCAGCCACCACTGCTGCGCTGCTCCAGGAGGGGCTGCAGAGCCCCTGGGGTTGGGAGGGGGGGGAAAGTGACACTGCTGAGATGCTGTCAAACAATTATGTTGTAGCTTGGGATTCCCAAGGAGCAAGTTAAGTTATGGGTTGCATAGTTTCATGTTTCTCTTAGGAGCCTAGGATTAGGGACAGGAGTGGTTATTGCAGCTGGCTGGTGGATTTTCAAATTTCAAATGGGGAACCACATTTCTTGTTTCAGCAGAAGGAAAGGCAGGGGGAGGGGAATGCTCCTGTGGGAGCATCCTGGTGCCGTATTCCCTCTGCACCACCTTCAGTCTGAGCGTCAGAAAGAGGAAACTGCTGATCTTCATGAGGACAGCCTGCAGCATCAGCCAGGCTTTGAAATTTGAAAAGCTGACAATGCCTTGGAGAAACACAGGGAAAATTTCACTTCAGGGTTTTCCCTCTGTTCCCTCGACCAGCTGGAGCACTCTCTGTTTAAACACAGGGACTTTTAAGATAGATGTTCCCATGTGAATATAGAAAGCTAGAAACCCCTAGCATCATCCCTGTCGCTGTGGACGGGGCTGTGTGTGTGTATGTGTGTGTGAGTGGGCACACACATGTGTGTGTGCAGAGCCGTGTGGCTGTGGGTGATGTACTACACAGCCACACCTGCCAGATTGTATCAACAAAGTTTATTTCTAAGTCTATCAGAAATTTACTGTACAGCAAAAGTAACTTTATTTTCAGCGTGAACCATATTTAAGGAAACACTCAATGCACTTAAGTTATAAGATGAAATAATTTACTTTTTATAAACATTATGTTTAGGTTGCAAAAGCCCAGTGGCAGGGAAGGAACATCAGTTTGTTGCAGGAGATGATATAGGTTTGGATTTTGGGGTTGGTTATTCTTGGTGCTCTCAGGTTGCCCCACTGGTTTTGAGGTGCAGTTGGAATTCAAAGCAGGGCTGGCTCCTCTGCCAGCAGATTGATGGGGACAGTGTGGTGGCCAGGTCCTTGACTGGACATGTTCAGTGCAGGGTCAGTGTGGGGTGGACAATGCTGCTGGACCTGGTGGACATCTGGGCCCATCAAGGCTCAGCCATGCTTCTCTGCATCACCTCTCTCCTTCCCATGGCAGAACCCAGACTGCCTCCACCAGCAACCCCATCCTGTACCCTCAAATATGGGTGCTAGACCAGTGCGAACTGCTGTCCTGGCTCTGGAAAACATTGCAGCCTGTATCGCCACCCCTCAGGCAGAGGAGAAAGGAGGCATTTCCCTTCCCGTGTTCATCCCTGCCAGAGCCATGGGAACCTGGGGAAAGTTCTCCTTAGGGTCAAGCCTTCAGCTGACCCTCACCTCATCCCTACTCTCGTTTTCATGTGTTGTGTCCTTCTGTGCTGCTGTTCACAAATGATGTAAGTAACAACCTGTAAAGACATGCAAGTGACTGTGAGGCTCAAACACTGACTCATCGCCACTGTACGATCTGACACTGAATGTAGCGGGGTCCAGAGATGGCTGACCCAGCGGGAGATGCTGACACACTGTCAGAAATCGCGTACCAAGGTGAAATTAAAAAGACAAAAAATCTCGGAAAAAAAAACAACAAAACCCCAAAAAGTCTGGTCTTTTCTTGTGTGGGGTGTCCCCTTGACTTGGAGACGGAAGGGTTTGAATCATCTCCACAGTCAGCAAGGCGCTGGGTAGGGTAGAAACCTACCTAGCTGGGTAGAGTGTTGTTGGGTACCAAGACCATGGGGGAAGCTTCTGCTCCTTGAGTTTCCTATATTAAATGTTCTCTGGTCTGGGAGTAAACTGGACCTTGAGAGTTCTCCATCGCCAAAAGACAGACTGGTGGATCTGGAGGATGACATCTATCTCTGGCTCCCTCCCAAGGAGGCAGTGGGGGGTCTTCTGGGAAGGCATTTCTGCAGGCCAGGTTACCCCATAAGTGCTCTCACCTGGTCTGTCACGTCACCATGACCCCCAGTCCTCCATGGTGGGGCCATGGGCAACTCTGTGTTAGGACTATCTAAAAGGCATAGGTAGGTATTTTCCAATAGGAGTTTCTCTTGTTCCAGGTCCCTGACATGGAGAGGTTCAATGAATATGTACTGATGGTACCAAACTGGGGATAGGGATTCACAGCTCATTGTCTGAGGTGTTCAAAATAACGTGTTCTCCTTCCTGCCCTTCATCAGTCACTGCTCTGCTGTTTCTGTGCTATAAAATGTTTCCCAAGCCTAACCTGCAGAAAAAAATATTCTCAAATGGTATGACTGCGTAAAGAAAACTTGATTTTTATTGTGCAAGATGTAGTTTCCTAGGAACAGCCTGGATTTCTTGGATTAGTTTGGGGGTTTGCTCTATTTCAGGATAGAAGAGCATGGAACCTGACCCTATAAATGGCAACTGCTGCAAAACTCCCTAGCAGCCCCAACCTAGCAATGTTCAGTTTGTTCCAGATACCAGATCATGTCTTGGGAACAAGTTGCTGGGTAGCCTGCCTGACCCGAGCTTCTTGGAACTCCATTCTTGGTCATCCTGCAGCTATTTCCCCTTGCTCCCCAAAATGAAGACTTACTTTTAACCACTGCACAGGCTCTATTTTCTCAACAATCACATTGTGATTACAAAACATCTTTGAGCCCTTATCTGGCCTCTGTTGCCTCAAACATGAGCTGAAAAAGCACAGCAAGAAGACTGGAGAAATGTCTGACATGTAGAAGGCTTTCCATGGAGAATTAAATAAGCTGTATTTTGCTGCAAGATCTTCTTTTCCTTCTCATCTGTTCCTGTTTGCTCATTTGGGATGTAATTAGTGTCATTAGGTGAAGGTGTTTCAGGAGGGAAGGCAAAACCTTATAAAAGCAGGATTCACAGGTTACCTAGCTTTGGGAGGAGGTGGGAAGATGTGCCCTAGGAAGCCTGGCCTGATTTGTAATGATCTTGTGAAGGACAGCAGGGCAGGTGCTTGTGTGTAAATTTTGCTTTGTTTCTAAAGCCCTTGCTCTTTCTAAGAGGAAATTATGCATTGGGAAATTTCTTTCTAGAGACTGTAGCATTTGTGTGTACTTCACTCTTGCAAAGTACAAGGGTGATACCTGCTATAAGTGCCAGTATTTTTTAATGTTGGCTAAGCATATTCTTTTGACTGGTTATCTCCAAACCCAGCTTCTGGGTTGATGACATGGAAAGGCAAAATCCTATGTTTTAGTTTGAGATTTTGGTGTAGGAGGGCTCTAAAACAGCAGGGTAGAGGGTTGGACCTGTTCTGGCGTGGGCAGGTTGGGGAAATTATGGCTTGGTGGTCTCGGAGCAATGCTGGCTAGTGCTAGTGGAGCAGAGGGAGTTTGGTCTGGGGTGAGGCTGATAGTCACTTGTGGAGGTGGAGATGTGCTTTGCTTGTGGAAAGGGAGTAGATCTGGAGGAGATGGAGTATATGTGGTGTGGAGGAGCTGCTGTGAGCCATGAAGCAAGCATCAGTCTGATTTGTAGGATCCAGCTGCTGGCAATGGCTGGGTTAACGCTACCCAGGTTTGCAACAGAAAAATGGATGTTTTCATTAATGGTTATTAAAATTGCTTTAAAAGTTTCCCTCCATCAGATGCTTCTTAAAACACATTTAAAGTTGCGTTTTTTAAAAAACGTTTAAAGATGAAAGGCTTGTCTTTCCCACCCACAGCCATCTCCTATTTGGAAAATGTTCACCTACATCAGTCTGGCTTTCCATCAGCCTAACTATCAATTTACACTTATGAAATTACTTCCCAAAAAATAAAACCTCCATAAAACCCATGGCATATAGACTGGTTGCCTACTTTTAATATCTTGCAAAAAAAGTAATGACATGCTATAATAGCAGTACGTCAAGGTGTGTGTGTGTATGTATAAAATTATTGTATACTGTACATAATTTGGGGGAAAGATCAGTACTGTGGAAGGGAGCAGATCTTTGTCTAGTGAAATCAGCAGAATTTACTGTCTTAAACCTGTCTTCCTTTTGCAAGTTGGCCTGTGTGCTTGATGCAGCCTGAACAAAAGTCCAGCATTGCAACCACACAATGCAGTAGCAGATGTGGGTCTCCCTGTCATCGGGATTTCATATTCTGTTGTGCCTTATTTCAGGGTGTGGATGGATCCTGCCAAAGAAATACTGGCTGGGCCTTACCTTCTGCAAGTAATGGAATCACTGCATGGCAGATGACTTCTTGTCAGGCTGGGTGGGTTGTGGGTTTGCTATGTTCAGGATTGCACCCCCTGGGATGTACTCTCATGGTGCTGCTTTACCATGTTGTGCTCCATGTCTGAGCCCACTCTTGGCCTGTGGAGCAACTCCCTAGGACAAATGATACCTTCTTGTCAAAGCCAGGAAGAAAAGAACAAGGTCTGACATGAAAACAAGTTCTACCTTGCTCTCCAACCCAAGGGCAACGCCAGCAAAGGGTTGGGAGCTGACCATTGTGTCTCTAGTGGCTCAAAACAAAGCTTCCTCTGTTCAGGCACTGTTCAGTGGCCAAGGAAAGATCAGTTCAGAGATTACTTTTCAGTTGAGGGCACTGATTAGATGGTACTGATAGGCATCTAGCTCTGAGTGATATTATGTTTATTAACTTGATCTTTGTGAATGGATGATACAGGAGCTTGTGGCAGATGCAGACTAGAGTGAAACTGAACATGGTATTGGCCAGTACTGACTGGGTTTGAATCTGGAGATTTAAATCTTGACGGTAATTTTAGGTATTTGTGGGAGACTTGTAATGTGCAAACACAGAAGCTGGAGCAAGCAACCTTCTTGGAAGCATGTGGCCTTGGTAGCAGTTGCTGTCTAGGAGAGCTACCTCCAGATGAAGTGTTGGATCCTTGCCTTGCTCAAAATGGCCTGGCTCAGCATTTAAGTGTAATCAGTGGAGCTGTGCTGGCTCCTGTCAGCTGTGACGTGGGCATGAGCTTGGTGTAATGGGGATATTAA